GGGGGCGGTGGAATAATTATAGTTAGGAAAAAGAAAACACATTGATTCGTAAAATCTATTGAAAATGATGTTTTTTTTATATTAATGAGGCTTCTAGTTTGTCATTGTTACATAAGTTCCCCATATACAATCTTAAATTACAACAACTTCCTGTATTATTTTTTTTTAATATCTTAGGAGTATTTTTCTCATTTCAACTTTGTCTGTTTGATTTTACACAAAGTTTAAGAAAGTAAAAAAAGATAATTAAAATGTGTCAAAATGTCCTTTAATTTTGTGGTCTTGAGCATTTCATGTGAAAAGTTAGAATTAAAGAATTGACAAAAAAGGAAAAAGACAATCTTTTTAAATGAATTGAAAATAAATAAATAAAACAAATAAATTAAAATAGAAGAAGTTTAAGTATGAACTCTAAAATGATAGACGTGAGAGTGGGGGTTGGATGGATTGGGAGAGTGAAGAGGCAAAGGAGAGGAAGAAGATAATTAATGTGAAATGTTAACGTGAACCTTACTTAGTTACGTGCATGCTGAACATTCTAATTAATACATTTTGACATAAATTTGAAATGAGACATCAAGAGTAATTCTAACTAACTTGCTTATGTAGTAGTATTATTTTTTACTATTTAAAAAATAATTTAAATTTTAAATTTTCATTCGACATACTTAAAGCCACACAAATCTCTGTATGTTTTAATTTTTATGTTCAATCAGATACCATCACATAAATTAAAATAATTTTTTTTTATCTTTTTAGGTTAAATCCACTTCGGAGTGGTTGTGCACATCTACGTAAAAATATGGGACATTAGCATAATTTCTGAAACAAGAAGGTAAAATTTGAAGTTCTACAAACTAATAGTGTCACCTATAAAAAAAAAATTAAAAATTTGAATTAAAAAATATGATTTTTTTATTAATATTTTTTTTTATATATATAATAAAAAAATATGAGGCTTGGATAAACTAGAACACCACAAAGTGCAACGTGGAATTTAATGACGGATAATATTGGACACGTGTGCATTGCTATATTTATTCACCTAATCATATGTTCAGTTATATAAAGTTCTATAAATAAAATCAAATTGTTATTCAGGTCTCAGTTTATATTACTTATTTTCTTTTCAGTCCATTTCAAAAACTAAATAAAATGATTTATAATCATATAATCATAAAAATATCTATCATCTATTCTAGATCATAACTTACAAAAGTCTCATTTCTTTCTTATTCGTTATAAAATTAAACTAACTCGTATAAAACGAGACAAAAAAATATTATTTTAAGAAAAGTAGAAATAGAAGAAGTGCTTACGTGTCAATTGCAATTTACATTAACCAATAACATAACTACACGAATGTTAAACCTTAATTGGACAACATTGACGGACAAGATCTGATAGTGGACACGTGTAAGATGTGTAATAAAGTTTGTTTTAATTTTTTTGAGATTGATTTTTATGTTTGTAAAATATTAGTACAAGGTTGGTAGATATCATAATTATGTAGCGTCACGATTGACAATTAGGTTAGACAAATAGAAAAATGAGTTGAATCGTTATCGATATTACACCATCTCACATGCATTTAGACTAGATTGACAAAGATGATTTAAATCGTTATCGATATCATATGCGATTGTTGATAAGGATGTATTTCATCTGTTTCCGTTTATGAAATATTTTTTTCTTTTTTAAATTTCGTGTTGGCGTTAAACTAAGATGAGACGAAAGGAAAGGAGTAATAAAAGGAGAATGTCGGTTAAGTTGGTGGAAGGAAGAAATTTTAGTTCTATTGTTTGGTAGAATTTTAGTTTGACCCGATTCGATGTGACAATTGACAAACAATTATTGGCAGTGATTAATTTTCTTTTTTCAAAACCTATTTATTATATTATAGAATAACAAGGAAGACGTATGATTTTTCAGACCTAACATGTTTACGTGACATGTTTTAGTACTAAAACTTATAATATTTTTACTTCATATGTTTGGTTATTTTGGGTTGTTATTAAGGTTTTATATAGATGGCTAGTGCACGCAAACAAATTCAATGTTTAAAATTTATGAATTTTAATATTTGATATTGACGAACATGTTTTTCAAAAAATATATAGTTTCCTTGATGAGCTGAGATTAACAATGAGAAGTTCAAATAAATCTAACTCCAGATCTCAAACAATCATTTTTTTATGGTGGATAGTATGACAACGATGACGACAACAACATTAGTCATAATATCCACTATGATCCAGCTAGTGACCAAAGCCGAGTCAATTCATATTAAAACCAGAAGAGGGAATTCAATGTCAATCGCCATCTCCTTGGCACACGTGACGGTTATCACCTCTACCACGTCCTCCTTAACGTCCCTTGTTATCTCACGGGGTTTAGAAAAGGTGGGGTATACGCAGACCTAATCCTGCCTTGTTGTGATAGAGTAATTCCCGATAGACCCTCATGAAATACAAATCTAGAGTTAAATGGATGCAACTAGGTGACTCAAATACTGAATATTTTTCTGTTGTGATGAAAGAAAGCAAACTGTAGAGCTTTACCTAAATGGAGTTCAGTTGACTGATCCTAGAGTTATTAGAGAAGAGATTCTACAATTCTATAAAATTTTGAAGGCCCAATATATTATATTACAACTTGTGGGGGGTTTGGGGAGGGTGAGGTGTATGCACTAACACAGACCTTACTCCTACTTCATGTCGTAGAGAAAATATCTCCGATAAAACCTCGGCTCAAGATATGCTATGCAGTGGAAACCACTTATAGAGAAAATTATAGCTAGAATATACAGACAGAATACAACTGGTGCAAAATGTATAGTTATGTATCTAGGACTATTACAACATCATACCAAGTGAAATCCCACAAGTGAGGTCTGGAGAAGGTAGAATGTACGCAACCTTACCGCTACCTCGTGGAGGTAGAGAGGTTGTTTCTGAAAGACTCTCAGCTCCAAGTGCCGGATCTAGAGCACACAAATCTAAAAATCACAGATTACAGAAACTGATTGCAGTCTGCATACACTTAATCAGCCTCTCTACTGATCTCAATTATTTGGCATTCCCAAGCTAAGGATGTGTAGAAGTGATTGTTATGAAGAAAGATATAGTGGCTTGGGATAGAATGTGTTCTCTCAAGTCCATAGGAAGATTAAACCTAAGCAATTTGAAGTTATGGATCAGGTGGACAAAAACTTTGGTTCCATCACAGGCCAACTGGTAGGAACACACTTAGAAGTGGAAGAGTTCTGGTGCAGATACAATACATTACCAGAGTTCGGAAACATGATGATTTTCCTAGCCTGAGGCGAAATTCACAGTATGGCAGCATCTTCATATAAGTATAGACTGCAAATGAACTTATCAAGAGATGTATGAATACAGGTTCGCTCATGTCAAACTCATGACGAGTCAGAAGAGCATCCATTTGTGGAATGTGCATCTGCTAAAGGCCAACGGAACTAAGTACTACGATACTTACAAAGACAACTTAACACAACAAACTACCTGAGAGGCTGGGACATGGAGTGGTCTATCAAGGACTACAAAGAAAACTCAAATGGCACTCAGATGTCAGATCCTTAGAATCTTAGCATTATATGTGTCCATGTAGATCAGAGATTTCACAACCATATGACATAACCCACCCAAATATGTGGGGTGAGAATCAAGTCTATCACAATCAAACAGAATTCGAAACCAAGAGAACCTTCGTATTCTTTCTTGTTACAAAAGATTAAAATCATGCATGGATAAATGGAGATAGAAGCACCTTAGGTTCAGGGGAAGAGATTTTGTTGATGAATCAAGTTCCAACAATGTTTTTGGTTAAAAGAAAGATGACAAACTTACCTGAACACCTGAAAGGAAAATTGGATTAAACATCATCATGACTAATGCATTTATGACCATTTAAGGAAGGTGTTAGTTACTAAACTCAGAGCACTAGTTAGCTTTATAGCTGAGATGAAATGAAGATGAAAAGGTGTTCCACTTGAATTAAATTGAAGTTGGTTTAGCAATATCTTAAAGACAATAAATTGATACAATTCCCATAATGAATTGAACCATAACATCTCCACATGTGAAAAGCAAATGAAAGCCAAACTAAACCCAAAACAGAAGGCAACATGCGTTTTCTTAGAAAAATCTGCCTTATCAACATTTGACACACGGGTAAAAGTAAAAGAGGGGTTTCCCAGTATAACTGACAAGGCGTCGTTAGTGCATCCATCAACCCCAAGAATCACCTCAGCCTTGACAAGTATGAAGGAGCCACCACAAAGAGCAAATATGCTCAAATACAGTTTTCTTTGCTCTCCCAGTATAACTGACAAGGCGTCGTTAGTGCATCCATCAACCCCAAGAGTCACCTCAGCCTTGACAAGTATGAAGGAGCCACCACAAAGAGCAAATATGCTCGAATACAACTTTCTTTGCTCTCCCAGTACAACTGACAAGGCGTCGTCAGTGCATCCATCAACCCCAAAGGTCACCTCAGCCTTGACAAGTAAGAAGGAACCATCCCAAAGAGCAAATATGCTCAAATAAAACTTTCGTTGCTGCACCCCTGAAGACAAGTTAACAAAACAAACAAGAAAATGAGACACCATGTCAAACAATCAAGAACACATCAAAGACTGCAGCGAGTACCTGCAGCCCCACTGACCATAAATTAGAGGTTTATGTAACCTCGTCATAGATGCTGCACAGTGTCTACATTGTAAGAAGATCAAATCACCTAAAATAGAAAATACAGAGAAAAGGAATCTTTTCCCCTACCTTCTAACAGCCAAGACAGGCCACATGGCTACATAAGATTACATGGTCTGACGACCAGTCACAATATTTATATCCTATATCTCATTTTTGTTGTCCACAATCGCATTTGTGTAGACAATCAGATCTAACATGAATGCTTTACCACCAAGCAGAATTGTCATCAGAAAAGTGAGATCTACCTCTTTCCAGGTTTTGGGCATCGAGTCTACTCTCCTCTGGTTGCTTGTAAGAGCTAACACTGAAATTAGTCGCAGCATTATAACCATGATTTGCGTTATTCTGAAAATTGTAAGCCTGCAGTTGACCTCAATTAGTAAAGATATGAGAAACCACAACAACAACAACAACAACCCAGTGAAATCCCACTAGGTGGGGTCTGGGGAGGGTAAGTAGTACGCAGACCTTGCCACTACCTCGTGGAGGTAGAGAGGCTGTTTCCAAGAGACCCTCAGGATGAGAAACCAAAGAAAAGAAAAGTTCCATTCCACACAAAAAAGAAGAACAAGGTTTCACCATGTCAGGATGATTCACTTGTTGAGTGTAACTTTCAGGGAGCGTCGGGAGACGATGTTCGCCAAAATCTTGAACTATGCCCAAGGAATTGCTTCCAAAACAAAGCTGCTGCATGCCAATGTTGGAGTTATATGGAGTACAGAAATGGCCCGGCACCAATTGTCCAGTTCCAATGGTTTCAGCAGGGTGATTTAAAGGGATATCAAGATCATTGAGCTCCATATAGGCAGCGTCTTGTGGCAGGATCACGGGGTTAAGACTATAATTAGCTCCACCACTTGCAGTGAGATCAGGTTCCAGCTGCCCTACTCTTGCCCAGACTTCGATGTCTCCAAGGTCGTCAAATATATCATTCCCATCAGTAAAAGCAGCAGATGGAGCATTTACATCTTGGTGAAAGTTCTCTAGCTTCTGCTAAAGGAGGAATCTTAATCAATAACCATATAATTAAACAAGTTCCAAACATACAATAAATGTCATACGATTAGCTATGGTATAATATCTTGAAGAAGTAAAAAGCAAGCAACTGAAACAAAACAGGCAATAAAACTATAGTTACTGAACCCTCTGATAAAGCCATATAATAGATGAGTTTTGACTACCAAGTCATTTAACTTAAAAGCAGCCATACCAAGAATAGTCCAAACAGTATCAAGCTGTTGATATTGTCACAAACCAATCACTAACAACAAGCAAACTTCCATTTAACTGTACTTAGTCAAGCCCTGATTTAAAGCAAAAACGGAGAGAAGAAACTAATGCAAACAGTAGAATAGACAACAAGGGAAGACTTAGCAAAACATTAGGAGGCGTATGTCCATGAAATTTTCACTTTTTTCCGGAGTTAAACGCCCACTAAAATGACATTCTATGACAAACATGCACTTGAATGTTAAAGCTCATCTCAATAGATTTATAAACACTACAGCATACGCACCTGATTAGTCTCATTACCACCAGAAAGCAAGGAAGTATCTTCTGTGAATTGGGTAAATAGACCAATCATCTCGTCATCTAGCTCATCAGGAGCCATCTCATTAGTACACATCTGATCATTAGATGGACCTGGACCAGGGTTGGCCAGGCTGGTATCTACTGAACAACTCTGTTTCTCAGGCAGTATAGGCAGAGCAGAAAAAATATTGGACGATTTCGCTTTTAGCTGATCTGAAGGCATCCAATTGATAGAAGATACATTGGACAGCTTCGGTTCACCAGGTAACTCCTCATCATCTGGCTCATCCAAAGGCAGTTTTTGAACAGAAGGCTGAATGGGAGATGGACTCAGTTCACTTGAAGGCCAGACAGATGTGCTTCCTGGGTCAACCACTCTGGTTGCATTTGAGGTGCTGGGTTTATCAGGCCTACCAGGTGGAGCTGGAAAAACATCTGACGTACAAGGTTCAGCAGGAATCTTGTCATCTTCCCAATCTTCCTCCTTAAAAGGTGCTCCGTACTGTGCACCATTCTTTGGACCTGGCCCACTCTTCTGGAATACTTTATAAAGCACATATGAATCCTACAAAAACAAAAACAGGTATTTTGATGAATGATAGAAAAAAAAAACTAAGATTGGCTAACAATAAAATCATAGAATTTAAGGAACAAGAGATATCAATGTCTTTTTTTATGAAGGTCATTTCTGGTCCTGCTTGCATGCACCTCTACTATTCCACCAAGTGCCCACCAAGGCATAGGCAGACAGGAAAAAATCACCTGGTATTATGTCTCCTTTGGAATTAAAACTGAGAAAGCATGTTTATCCACCGATTGCATTGAACACTAGGCCACACCCTTAGGTACAATTATAGTCAGTCTTCTTACCAGAAGTTGAAAAATTGATGACGAAAACAAAATGCTTTATGTGGAGACAATCTACAAACAAGGAACATAATATGCAATAGTTTTTCTGTTTATTAGATGTTTTCACCTGAGTTACATAACTTTTCCCAATGCCAAATACATTGCTCAAGCATAGGCACCATGTGACATGACAAAACTTGAGAAAGCATCAAGAAAAAAGAAACAAAAGGTTCCAAAATAATATGAGAATGACTTGGTAATGCTGAACTACGGACCTACCTACCAACTCATTGCTTTTTCTAATCCAAATCAATCCTGCAAGCATAGTACCATAGACATTGCAAGTCATGATCACCAAGAGAAGGATCAATGAGAAATAGATGCAATCTTTAGGAAGCTAAAGCTCTCTAAACAATGTAGGAGAGTTTGTCTCAGTACACTTCCATTCAAGGAAAATCAAAGATCTAGACTCACCAAGAAGAATTCAAAATTAAGAAACCCCAGAAGAGATAGTAGGGGACCACATTAGGGAATGTCTCATCTTAATATTATCCCAACAATATCAAATTCCAAGAATGAGAAAACATGACACAATTAACACGATGGCCTAGTCAAAATTCTTCACATATGGAAACTACGATAGTGCCATAAAGTTCTCATCAGGTTCTCACGGATGGAAACTAAATGTGCAAACAGAAAAAGGGGAGAGAGAAAACTCCCAAGGAACTATCATTGGCTATGTGGACCTACTATTACAAGTAAAAAGAACATAAAAAATGATATAAGAATTAGGTAGTAATTTAGCCAAGGTAGGATATAAGTACCTGAGCAAATCCTGCATCAATTGATTCTTTATCTTCAAACTTGTATTCGTGAATTAACCAATCAGTTCTCTGCCCTCGCGGGGGATGACCTAGGTGAAAAACAAGTGTTTTAACTGATCCAACAATCTTCTCATCGTAAGTAACATATCTATCTTTCCCAGTAGTTTTCCAGTATCCACTATCAGTAGCGCGATTCATTCTGCCTCCACTTGCATACTTTCTCTCCCTTGGGCAAAAGAAGTACCACTCTAGATCTTTACTTTTATAGCAACATTTGTCTGGCAGAAGATATTAAAACATTACACAAAGTTGAAGAAAAACAAGTAGAATCCCCCCAACTTGAAACAGCAGATGCTTTCAGCCTCCTAACAGGATACTGTTTAAATGCTAGAGATTTCTACTGAAAGAACTTGCAACTTTCATAATTGAAAAAAGAGAGGAAAAAGATAAGACTTTCATTACTACAAAATATAAATGTCAATTTTAGATATCAAGAGTGGCGTAAATCAGAATGATACTTAAAGTAGAAAATTCATTAACAAACTGATGGTTATTCTTATCTCAAAGCATTTTTTTGAAATTTTTTTACAGAGCAGACTTGGCTCATTATGTACACTATTTTTTTCCTGTATGGATTCCTCTAGGACCTTTACAAGTAAATTGTTTATTTTCTATATAAAAAGAAGAATAAGCTTTTGGTGGAAGTACACATTATACCACTGAATAACAACTGTGCATAGAACTTTGAAGGAAATGTGTGCCAGAGGTAACGGGTTCCTATATTGTTAGGAAAACAAAGCTTAGCAAAATGAGATTTTTTAAGAAACTTCCCCATATAAACTATAGACTGATACCTGGAAGGTCCCATGGGGAGAACTTGTAGATGTTGAGTTCTGTTATGACTTCAAAATGAAATTTTTTTCCCGTGATCTTTCGTTTGAGATAGTACATAATCAGCTCAACATCAGTAGGGTGAAAACGAAACCCAGGCGGAAGCCGTGCCATTGAAATGATCCAAAAAAAAAGAACTAAATTCAAAGCAGCCCAAAAGGGCGCGCTGACGAAATCTAGACTAAAAGAGCTATCTGCACAGAACACCAGAGCCTCCAACCCACCCCTAAAACAAAAAAAAATTCAACTGCTGTCAAGTCCAATGCCGAAACAGTATCTTCCGTGAGCACCACAACCTTCTGCAGTTCATGAAAAGGAATGCACTCCAAACAAAGAAATGATGCTTCTTCCTGGAGCCAACAGACATCTGGTGCACAATCAAAAACCTGTTATTCATGAAATCATCAGCCTCAGGTATCAAGACCAAATTATACAAATACAAAAGAGGATCCACTAAATCACTAAATTTGAACACTGATTCACCTGGATGAGCACAACTAAAACCAATTACAAACACATTCTCCCCATTAAAACTTCACATGGTAAAAATAGGAAGAGCCCAAAAGGCAAAGAAAAGAATCGGTACGTAGTGAGGGAAAAAAGCAGAAGAACTACACCACAGGAGATAAGAAAATAACCACAGTGATCAAACCCTTAAAAAACCCCAAACACAAATTTCGAAAAAAAAAAGAACACAATAGAAAGGAAAAAGAACAAAATTTGACAAAACAATCATCAAAAGAGAACAAAATCAAATCAAGAACAGCTGAAGAGTAACTTACCCAGATAGGAACCAAATGGGAGAAAGCAAAAAAAAAAAACAGCCTAAGGGAACAGAATGGGAAGGCAGAGGAGATATATAACACAACAAAAAGGAAAAAATGATCAAAAAATTGACTAAATTAAAATAGCAATAATCATCCTCCAATAGAATCAAATATCCTAAATATTAGACCATGATAATAAACAATAAAAGTACAAAAAATATCAGTTCAAGGTAACAACAAAATACACAGAAATGGGCAACACAAGAACCACCCCACCTCCCTTTACTACCCATCAATACAAGTTATAAACAATAAAAAGGAAAAAAAAAAAAAACTTTACAAAATAACCCTCAAAAGAGAACAGAATCAATTGACTAAATTACCATCACACTAATCAACCAGTAGAATCAAAAACCCCTAAATACAGATTTCAACAATAAAACCAGTTCAAATGCAACAATAGAAACACAGAAATGGGAAAAACAATAAAGAATCGCAGTGATCAATCAAACCCTCAAACCCCACATACAAATTTCAAAAACAAAACACAATAAAAAGGAAAAAGATCAATTTTTGACTAAATAACAATCAATGGAGAACAGAATCAATTGCCTAAATTACAATCGCAGTGATCAGCAAGTAGAACCCAAAAAAAAAACCTAAATACACATTCCAACAATAACGCCATATAGAGAAGAAAACTAAACCAGTTCAATATATCAACAAAAACACAGCAATGAGCAACACAATAAAGAATCGCAGTAATCAATCAAACCCTTCAAACCCCACATACAAATTCCCAAAAAAACACAATAAAAAGGAAAAAGATCAATTTTTTACTACATAATCATCAAAACAGAACTGAATCAAATCAAGAAAAGTCGAAAAGTAGCTTACCCAGATACGGACCGAACCGGAGAAGGCGAAAAAACGATGGTGGGGTGGTGGAGGAAGTGACGGGGAAGGCGGAGGAGGGCTACAAGTGAATCAAAATTGCAGTGTTAGTAGGGTTTATATAGGCAGAGGGTTTTTTAAGCAAAGAGCCTTCTATGGTAATCTACAGCTTTTGATTGGTTCACTACATTCATACTCTATTGAGGGCATTTTAGGGAAAAGAATAAACTTAATCAACATTAACATTTCTATAATTAATAAGTTTCATTATGTAATTCACTCCGTTCATTTTTATTCGTTCAATATTTGATTTGACACCCCTTCTTTAAAAATTATATAATTATATCCTATTAACATTTGAATATTATAAATTTTAATATTTCGAAAAATCACTATAGTAGGTAATAATAAAAATAAATTAGAATCTAAATGATAAATTTTTCTTAATTTTTTAAAGTGGGCGTGAGTTTTTAGTTTATTGAATAAGTATAAGTGAACAGATCAAGTAATCGTGTAGATTGCGTTTCTTAAATATGTGTTATTATCTTTTGTTATTATATTTCTTTATTTGCTTTGTATCTTGCAATTTTGTTATCATATTTTTTTTACTATCGTGCTTTAAATTATGATAAAATATACTTATGAAATTATATTATATATATTACTCCGTTTAAGTTGTTTGTATTTTGCTTAAATTATTGACTTCTCAACTAATGAATTCCGACAAATATAGAAATTATCTCTTAATTTTATTAAACCACTACAGCTCATTACTTTCACTAGATCTTTTATATATTTTTACGAAACTATTAAGTATTATTTTTATTTTTATTGTATATACTTATTGACCTGGTCAAAGACACATAAGCAATGACATAGTTGTGATACTTCATCAACTCATCATCATCTCTATTTAAGTCACCAATCCACCGTAGTATAATCTTTTATTTTCTCTAGTCAATTGTATGAATTATATGTATTAATTGAAAAGAGAGTTGCTCGAAAATGCATATCAATAATTTTTCAATTCTAACTCAACACAATGGACGATGGGACTCATCAGGTAATTGATAAAAAAAACAGTTCATATGGTGTTTTTTTTCATGGTTGTATTTGATTTTTTCACAACATATCCATTTTAATCTTTTTTGTAGTTATTCTTTTGATTTATCTTGTCGATTTTGGTGGAATGTAAATTCATATGATTTGTTTGATGTTCTGGGGCATCAATATGCTGGTTTAATTATTAAATAAATATTAAAATTTATCAATTGTTTGTGAAACAATATTGAGTTTTTCACAGCATCTGGGTTTATCTTCTTTTGGTATTGATTCGTTGTTTTATGTTAACGATTTTGGTGAAATTACAACAACTTGATATGATTTTTTTTATTGTAATCTGATATGTCGAGTAGTTTTTTTTTGAAAATTTTAGGTTTAATTGATTAATGAAACGACTTAAAATAAAATCATAAATTGTGTGTTTAAATTGATATGTTGAATGGCGTATGTTAACAGATTGTATCAATAGTTACTTTTGATATGTGATATGGTGTACAGTCAGTGGCGGGTATTAAATGTTGTGGGTGGGAATCGTACCCGTGATGCATCAGTCAAATTGTAATCACTTTGCCGTTGGGCTACATGTTACTATTGGTTTAAGTGGGGTCAAATTAATTATATACAGTGTTTTGTTTCAAAAAACAGATTGAATATATATGTATATACAATGTATTTTTTCGACGAAGTGGGTTCATATGAACCCACTTGCAACAAGGTAGGTCCGCCCCTGTGTACAGTGTACACATGCCAACTGCAAGTAAATTTGTAGGTGCATGTATTTGTGTATTTTGTTGTATTATTTGATATATAAAATACAACAATAAAATAATATTTTGGTACATTGTTTGGTTTATTTTGATTATCTGAATTGGTGTATATAATAAATTGAAAATTTGGTAATATGTTGATTGGTATGTGATCTGGAACTTATGCTGGAGTAGTTGATTCTATGAATTGGTGGTATATGTTGGTGTATTTTTTCGTCTAAATTGTAATACCTTAGGGATCGTTTGGTACAAAGGTCAATAATGCAGGGATTAGTAGTGCATAGATTAGTAATGCAGGAATTATTTTTATCAAGTGTTTGGTTCATTGCTTCTCACCTAGTTTTGTGTGTGGTTTATAACTCTACAAATTTTTTTCCAATTATACCCTTGAGTTATTATCAGATTTTCTATTTCATGTAATTGGGTCAAGGTAGATAATTGACAGACAATATTTTTTTATAGCATTTTAACTAGCTAGGAGAATAAAAAATTTATCGTCATGTTCACTATTTTTTCACTTAAATTATTTGAGGGTAAATAATTGTCATCTTAATAAATTGGAGTTAATATCTCAAAAAGTCACACAACTATAATAATTTATAGAGAAAAATTATTGAACTTTGTTTTGTATCAATAAATTAAAAAAAACCCACTCTTTATCATAAAATAAAAAATAAAAAATAGCAAAATAAATTAAACTATTTTTATACTCGAGATGTTTTTTAAAAAAAATTATTTTGAATATTGATTAGATTCTTATGGAGGAAACGATCATCATCATATAAAATTAAATTGTTTGGTCTAATTTGAACAATTTTTATTTTTATTTTTTTGAGTGTAATAGTTTCTTAACTAATATATAAAATTGTTATCTGAAAGAAAAATTCATTTGAAAGTAAGTGGAAACTCAATTTTAATGCATTGCTTAACTTGTATTTCTGATCTCTTTCATGAGTGGATTTCCATCTTATATACTTATTTTAATTGATGAATTCATTATTTCTATGGATGCTACTTGGTCACCAAGTCCAAGTTGTGCAAATGAAGATAATAATCTATAATTAGGCAATATATATATATATATATATCTTGTTTTAGATTACTTGTCTTATGTTTCAATGTATTTTTGTTAAGAGGCAATATTTGACTTATGAATTGTTCTTAAATTCATACATCAACATTAGCATATTAGTTGGATTATAATATTTTATATTAATAATAAATAGATTAAATAACTCATATTTTAGCAACAAAAACTATGTCTAAATAATAAAATTTGTAAGCTCATTTATTTATTATTGGTATAAATATAAAACATAAAATCAAGAAAATAAACAAAAATGATTAAAAGGATTTGAGGGGGTATTTTTGTCTTTACCTAGATTAGTCCCATGGTATTAAATCTCATGTATTACTAATACCATCCAATGGAAGGTATTAGTTATACATCCTATGATACCATGTAGGGTGTATAACTAATCCATGGATTAGTTATACTTATACCCAAAATTCCTACCAAACATAGTACTAAATAATACCACACATAATACTTGGATTAGTTCTCCTAATACTCCCTACCAAACGACCCCTAAATGTCACAATACTTATGATATGTTTATTGGTATAATAAATTATTTGGTATACCTGTTAGTGTGAATTACCACAAGTATGCCAATTTATTATCGTATGATTGCAAGTATTAACAATACTATACTATACATAGTATGTTTTGGTATTATTATTGATAATGTATGCTTTAAATTGAAGGTACACGCATCAACAGAATACCTTCATACAGTTATAGATGGTGCAAAGAGGTTTACAGTATATCTGAATACTCGTATGTGCAGTTGTGGCAAATTTCAACATGATGAGATCCCTTGTAGTCATGCAATTGCTGCTATCAGATATAGGAATAAACATCACGATGACTATTGTTTCGCATATTATAGTAATAAGAATTATCAGGATACATATGCATTACCAATAGAACCCTTGCCTTGCGAATGCACTTGGGATGTTCCATCACATGTTTTGGTACCACCAATTGCAAGAAAGCAGCAGGCAGACCACCAAAAAATGATCGCAAAAAGGGATTCACCGAATGAAAGGGGAAGAAAAGAAAAGTCACCTGTAGTGAATGTGGTTTATTTGGGCATAACAAGAAAACTTGCCCAAAAAAATCACATGAGAATTAGCGTTATGGTATTTTTATTGTTATTTTAACTTTGCAGAAAGTTATGCAGTTGAACTCAATGGAGCCTTATTTGAAAGTTGATTATTGTTTGTTATCTTATTAATATTATTGAATTCGTAATTGTTATTAATGGCTATCATGAACTAATTTAATAATCGTGTTGTGAATAAGCAAGTAAGGTTGGTATAATTCCAGCCTAATACATAAATAATTAAAACTAGTTAATGTGGAGAACTTGGTTACCAGAAATAATAGACTGTGTTAATGTAAAAAGTTGATTAAACCAATTATTTGAAAAAAATATAGGACTATTGGTAAAAAAAAATATAGGACTACCATAATAAATACAATCTGTTAAAGAAAAAATTTGGTGAATTTATGTTAAAATATGAACGAAAATTGGTAAACATATAGGAATATAATAATGATTGTATGTAGGGATCATATGTTTGCATTATATACCAACCTAAAACAATAAATTTGAAAAAAATTACTTAAAGTTAAAACCATGGTTTGAATGATACCAGAAAAAACACACTCTGTTAATGTAAAAAGTTGGTTTACTTATAATAAAAACTACATAAAACTTGATAAACGTAATGGTATATATAGCAAACTAAAACATTGAATGAAATCAAATAGCACATGTAAAACAGATTTGGTATAATATTTGAGTAATGCTAAAACCAATTGACATAATAATGGTTGTATAAAGTAATTCAAATGTTTGAATTATATACCAACCTAGAACACTGAATTGTAAAAAATTATAAAAGGTTAATATTTTGGTTTGGACTGTTACCATGATTAACACATTTTGTTCATGTAAAAGAATTGGTTTACATATGATAACAAATCATGCTAATGTACTGGTATATATACCAAACTAAAACATTGACAAAAATAAAAAAAAGCACATTATAAATTTAACACAAGAATAAACCAAAATACTAACCAAACAAAGATAGATAAACTCAAAAATAAACACAATAAACAAACAATGAAATTCAAAACCAACACCACATAACCAGAACGCAACTAAGTTACCATCCAAAAGTAAAACAAGAGATTAAAACCATAATAAAATTCATGAAAAATTGTCTAAATAAACGGAAC